GGAGGGAGGGAGGGAGGAGAAAGAAATAGAGGGAGAGGAAAAGAGAAAAATTAAGACTCAGAGGCCTTTCTCTCTCCTCCTTCCTCAACTTCCCTCCCCATGCCCTAAATAAACTCTATACAAAAAGAAAGAAAGAAAGAAAGAAAGAAAGAAAGAAAGAAAGAAAGAAAGAAAGAAAGAAAGACTGAGAGGAAAACCTGTGTGTACTTATGAACAATTGTGCAGAAGTGTGATTAGGGATGAGAGGGGTATGAACTGATAGTAAACTGTAGGGAGCCTAGCCAGGCCTGTTTGCTCAGACTTTCTGGTGTTTTTTGTTTCTGGAAATAACAACATTACATCCCTCTGGAGTGAGGGTTTTATGAACTATCCTAAGGCCAAGCCAGTTGGACTTTATGGAGGGAGCTGAGGGCAAAAGTGAGAGAATTCCTTCTTAAGTGTATGACCTGTTGTTTTCTGAAATGCTCGGATACTGTATTCCAGAGTAGTATGCCCAGACTCAACCAACTTCCAAAACAATTGAGTTTATGGCAATTCATTATGGCACTGCCTAGTTCGTGGTGGTGCCTCCTCTAGACTCCCCAGTCCTCTAGATACTTGACCCCAGGGATCTGTGACATTTTCACCTTTGTCCTTTTGCTTTTGGTATACCATCCATGAGTTAATAGACCCTCAAGATGAAGTGAGTTGGGGAAAAAAACAGCTTGAATATCTTCCAAATATCTCCGCAGTCTATCCTCTAGAAAGTCACACACAGTGCTTATGACACAAGATATTAGATGTACTCCTTGTTTTTTCCCAACATCAACCTCACAAGCTAAAGTTCGTTAAGGTTTCTCATGACAGAAGTGGTAGCTTATGTCTGTAGTCGAAAGATTTCGGACATGGAATCAGGAGTATTGCTGTGAGTTCAAGGCCAGCCTGGGCTACACAGTGAATTTCATATTAAACCAAGCTACAAAGATTCTGTCTGAAAAAAAACAACCAAACAACTATACATGCCACAACTACATATACACATATATCATACAAAACAATTCTCAGGAGAGGAGAGAGAATAGCTCATCTGAGTCGAGAACAGAGTAGTTCATGTCACTCAAAAGGGCTCTTCGGTGTTAACTAAGGAATCCACCACTCAAACCCACCATATATTATATGCTCCTGATGGCCCAAATCCACCTTACAGTATTATCCAACTCATTTCAAATTTAATTTGGATATTCTTGAGGCAGAATCTGTCCCTGGAAACGACTTTGAAGCCCAAGAATGCCCCCTACCACCTGGCAACCATCCTGCCTCACCCTCACATGTGCTGGAAACTCATAGACATGGGTCACCATGCCTACTCGAAATCCAACTTGTTGAACTAACCCAGACAGCAAAGGAATGTCTGTCTCCTACGGCTTTTAAAACAACCAATAGAGAAACCCAAGTTTTCATTTATTTTGAGTGAGGATTCCTCTATGAGGTCCAGGTTGCCTCTGTTTCCTTCAGTATAGGGTTTTAGACTTGTCCCATAATGTACAACTGTTGCTCCATCTGGCTCTGTAAGCAAAAGGTTTCAGTCTGAGCAAACCAAGGGGCATATATTGAAGTAAGCAGTAACTCTGTTTTAGCCTCCTGTCAGAGACAGCTTAGAGTGTGGTCCATTTTCTATGCCCCGAGGCTTCTATAGAACTCTGGGAATCCAGGGACAGCTAACAGAGCG